TGCGGGGGCCGCCGAAAACAGAGCTGGAGGAGAACCCTGGGGGTCCTTCAGCCCAGCCCTTCGACCGAGCAAAATTATCTGTCCCGGTGCTAATTGTGCCGCAGCTGCCCTGAGCCCGGAGACGCCCCGGCTCTCTGCTCCCCTCTTCGATCAGCTTGGCCGTGACAAAGCTTTTCCTTGCGCCCATCCCAGATCTGCGTTGTTCAAACCGCAGCCCCCGAGGTGCTGCCTTACCCGCTGCCGGCGTGGGGAATGCTTTCCCCTCTCCTCCAAGTGGATGATTCCTTCTCCTTCAGCTCGGCCCCTGGGATTAATCTGGTCACGAGGGAATTCGCCCGCTTTTTCTCACTCCCTCTCTCAGATGCGGGGCCGGACTGACGTGAGGCTGCACCTTTCTGTTCCAGGGCGCCGTTCTGGGCTGTTACTTCGGCCCTGCTGCTCTCTATATCTGGGCCATCGGGATCCTCGCTGCCGGCCAGAGCTCGACGATGACGGGGACGTACTCTGGGCAGTTCGTCATGGAGGTAACGAGCACTCACAGCGTCGTGCCTACGTCCCTGTTCTCGCTGTTTCTGAGCCTTTAAAGCTAGTATTGACGATTCCCCTTCCTTGGACACAAAGCTCTTGCTGGCATCACAGAACCCCAGCATGGTTGGGGTCGGAAGGGACCCCTGGGGATCCCCCAGCCCAGCCCCTTGCCCAAGCAGGGTCACCCAGAGCAGGGGGCACAGCACCGTGGCCAGGCGGGGCTGGAATATCTCCAGAGAAGGAGACTCCACAGCCTCCCTGGGCAGCCTGGGCCAGGGCTCCGGCACCCTCAGAGGGAAGAAGTTCTTCCTCGGGTTCAGCTGGAGCTTCCTCTGCTCCAGTTTGTGCCCGTTGCCCCTTGTCCTGTCGCTGGGCACCACTGGAAAGAGTCTGGCCCCGTCCTCCTGACCCCCACCCTGCAGATAGTTAGAGGCCTCCCCCACCCACAGCAACGTCCGCACCTCGGCCCACGCGCCCAGCAAGCGGACTGCGGCACCAGGTTCCTCAAACCAACCCCCGGGCAGACGCTGCGCGCCTTCCAAGTCCACGCGCCACCCTCAGGAGAACCTCCCTCGCCCTGCTGCCCACACTCCTCCTCATGCACCCCAGGATCCCATCGCCCTTCTTGGCACCCAGGGCACGCTGCTGGCTCATGGTCACCCTGTCGTCCCCCAGCACTCCCAGTCCCTCTCCGCAGAGCTGCTCTCCAGCAGGGCCGCCCCAGCCTGTCCTGGTGCCTGGGGTTGTTCCTCTCCAGGGGCAGGACCCTGCCCTTGCCCTGGTTGAACCTCACCAGGTTCCTCTCTGCCCAACTCTTTTACGGAAGCTCCATAAAACCCCCTGATGTGCCTCTCAAACAAATCAGCTTTTAATCCTGCCCCGAGCCCCGCTCCCGCTGCCGCGCTGGAGTCTCCGCGCTGTTTTCACCCCGCAGCCGCTCTGGTTTTCCTGCAGGGCTTCCTGAACCTGCGCTGGTCCCGTTTTGCCCGGGTGCTGCTGACCCGCTCCATCGCCATCACCCCCACCCTCTTCGTCGCCATCTTTCAGGACGTCGAACACCTGACTGGCATGAACGACTTCCTGAACGTCCTCATGAGCCTCCAGGTGAGCACCAGCGCCCGGTTCTGGGTGGTCCGGTCTCGGAGGAAAACACCTCGCGCTGAATATTTCAGCTTCTGGCGCCTGAGGGTTTGCGGGAGCCGCTGAGCAGAGCGAGTTGCTGCCCGTGGACGTGGATCTGCTGGGGGGAGGCGGAGAGGATCAGCCAGGGAGTGGCTTCGCTTCCGTCTCCCAGGCAGGGAAAGTCCCTTCGACTCGCTTTCCAGTAGCTTTGGGGAAATGCCGTCGGATGGGAGCTGTTGGTCCGCGCTCAGGTAATCACAACGATTTCCACTCCTTATTCTTCCGTCTTTTCTCGACGACCGCAGCTTCCATTCGCTCTGATCCCCGTCCTGACGTTCACCAGCCTGCCCAGCGTCATGAACGACTTTGCCAACGGATTGTAAGTACGGAGGGGACTCGCGTCCGCGCGGGAGACGGCGCGTCGCTCCCCTCGGGCACGCCTCTCCTCGCCTCGTGCCCGTAGAGCGTCTCCTCGTCCCCTCCGCCTCACCCCGCCGTGCTCGGCTTTGGCTCGCAGGTTCTGGAAGATCGGGGGTGGCCTGCTGATCCTCCTGATCTGCAGCATTAACGTCTACTTCGTGGTGGACTACGTCATGTCCCTGAACCACATGGCTCTGTACGTCGGGGCTGCGGTTCTCAGCGTGATCTACCTGTCCTTCGTGGCGTATTTGGTAAGTCCGGCTCCAGCTGAGGCTCCTCGGAGGCAGGAGAAACCGATGGAGTCGCTCTCTCGCCGTTACACGAATATCGTCGCGGGCCGCGGGCGCTGAAGGGTCGGAACCTATGGGGAAGTTGAGGCTTTGGCGGCCAGGCTTCCCAGGAATCTGTTCCGTGCCGCGCCTGCCGACCCACACGGCCTCTCGCCCGCGTTTCGGCCATCCCTTTGGCAATTCCCCTCTTCTCTCTTCCCAAAAAGGCCTCGGTTTCGCGCTGCCGCGGGTGAAAGCGTGGCAGAGGCCGCGCGATAGCGGACGGTTCCGCTGCACGTGTCTGCGCCTCGCCAGGGGTGTGAAATCATGGAACGGTCGCACAATCACAGGATGCTTTGGGTTGGAAGGGACCTTAAAGATCGTCTGGTTCCAACCCCCCTGCCATGAGCAGGGACATCTCCCACCAGCCCAGGGTGCTCAGAGCTCCATCCAGCCTGGCC